CGCCAGCGCCAGTGGCATGCGAGAGTTCGCAGGAACTTCCATCGGCGTGGACGGGGCCAAGGCCATGGGCTACGCAGTCGGGTGCATCCTGAGGCCGCGCGCCACCGACGCCGAGTCGAAGCCGATGGTGCTCGTGAACTTCATCGGCCAGGAGGAGGTGGTCATCGGGCTCGAGTTCGAGGGCGACCTGGACTTTGGGGTCATGGGCGAGCCGCCCGCGCCACCGCCGACGATCACCACGTCCCTGGCCAAGTGCATCGACGATTTCAAGGCCAGCCTTGTTGGATCATGTTTCGTCGTCGTCATAGTCGTCGCCCTCCCCCGATCTGGGTTTAACGGGGAGGCCGAGGAGGGGTAGGGGAAGGGGCCGGGAGAAAGGAGGGAAAGGGGGAAGAGGCTTGGGGGAAGGGGGGGCGGAGGGGCTGATGAATCGATCAAGCGCCCCCCCCCCCTCCCCCGATAGGTGCGCGTGCGCCCCGTTCTCGGCGAATGGATCTACAGCGCGATCGACAACGTCTTGGACTGCCCCTGCCTCCTCCCTCCGAGGGGGATGGATGAGGGGGGCGATGGGGGGGGTGGGGGGCGGAAGAAGAGGAGGGGGGGGAGGAGGGGGGGGCGGGATGGGGGGGGGTTGGCAGGAGGGGCTCATGGCCAGGAGGGGCCCGTGCGAGTGAGATTGATAGTGGGGTCGAAATGGAGATCGATCGATAGCGAGGTCGATAGTGATACCGATCGCGGGGCCAATGGGGAGATCGAGCGATCGTTGAATCGATTGTGGGGTCAATTTTGGGGTCGACAGTGGTATCGGTGGTGAGAACGATCGATAATGAGACCGAACGAATGAGATCGATAATGAAATCGCTAGTGAGGTCGATGGATAGTGACATCTATAGTGAGATCGATTGCAAGGTCGATAGTGAGATCAATCGGTAATCGTGCCGATCGTGAGATTGATCGGGCGAGATCGATCGAGTGATATCGATAGTGATTTCGCCAGGGATCGATCGTCCGATCGATAGCGGTTTCCATTGTGTCACTATGCGTTGCCACTATGCCCTGGTCATCATGCGTCGTCGCCAACTCGGGGGCTTCCTGAGGCAAGGGCATGGGGGGGCGGAGGAGGATGAGGATGACATCCACACAAGGGGGGGCCCCGAGAAGGCCCCAGGAAGGGTCCAGGAAGCAAGTGAATTACGGTTCGTTGGGTGTATTTGCCTCAAGGAGATGCACCCAACGAGCCGTGACTCACCCTGGCGTCGTGGTCTCGCGGCGCATGACAAGCCGTTTTCTTCGGTGCCCCCCTCGGGTTGAACATCTTTCGTTTTTTGTTCCGGGGCACCGTCGTTGCTGCAAGTGATTGCTCTTTGGGTGCTCTATAAAAGGAGCCTCTGGGAGGCAGCGGCGTTCTTCGCTGTCGTCTTCGTTTCCGATGCCGCCGCTCCTCGCGCGAGGGGGGCCCCTCCGTGATGGCGGACCAGGGCGCGGCCAACGTGAAGAAGGCCTTGTGGGGGCTGTGCCGCGAGCTCAAGGCCGAGCGGTCCGAGCGCGCTTCCGATCGCCGTCTCTTTCAGCGACGGTCAGGCCTCATATTGTTTCGGTCGTCGCTGTAGGTGACGCCCGCAGACACGAGCGTCGGGACAGGGCATAAGGCCCCAACATCCGCAGTGGAGGTCGAGGTGGCGGGTTTGGTCAGCGGCCAAAAGTGCTGGCTGCAGGCAAGGCCCCGTCGACTTTGAATCTGTGCGTCAAGTGGAAGCGCGTGCGCGTGTCCGCTGGCGAAGCCCAGGCCGCGTCGTTCGGGCGCATTCCTTACCTCGCGAATCCCACCCCTATCACGAAGGGCGATAATATTTCCAAGCCAGTGCTTTCGCCTGCGGAGCCCGATCCGTCGGCGGCTTCGGGCTCGAGCTCGGAGGCCAAGCCGAAGGCTCCGTCGGAGGCTGCGCCTGCGCCCAAGAGGGCCAAGAGGGGCCGAGCTGCTGGGGCGTCCGTCCGAGGCAGCCTGACATAGTTGGGGGGGCAGTGGGGGGGCTGATGGGGGGAAGGGTAGTGGACGACAGTGGGTAGGGTACTGGGCCGTTGTGTATATGCAGCTCTGCGCCGCCGTGGCGGTGCACCCCCTTGCCGCTGCTCGAGTGCCCGAGCGGCTGCGGCGGGGGGTAGGTAAGTGGTTGCGTGGTGGGCTGCACTTCGAACGTATCGTGCGCTCCAGCGTCGGGCTGCCCACCGCCTGAAAAGCGCGTTCGCGCTTGCGTGTTCTTGCGTGTGAATCGATGCTCGTGGATCGGGGCTGGCCTCGGCGCGGGGCGTGTGTGGGCTTTAGTGGGGCCTCTCCTGGAGCCCTCTGGGGAGTCCTGTGGAACTGCGCCAGTGCCTTCGCGAGCCATCGGGGAGGCGCACGGGGGCCCCGCTGCGTCTCCAAGAGGGCCCGAAGACGGCCCCAAGAGGCTTCCAAGATAGCCCCGAAGAGGCAAACACATCCTTGGAATAACAATGAAAGGATCTCATCTCCGTTCCGGCCCCCGTCTTTGCAGAAACGCCTGCTGTTCGGGCCCTCTTGGAGCCGTCTTGGGGCTCTCTGGGGCTTCCCATGGGCTCCTCTCGGGGCAATCTTGCCCCCCCCCCCCCCCCCCCCATGAGGCTTGGCAAACGTTGCAAGATGGAGGGGTTTCACGCATGCGGTGCAAGATAGAGGGTTGCACGTAAACGGTGCACGATAAAGGGTTGCACGTAAAACCAGAGAGAGGGTTGCACGTAAACAGTGCGAAATAAATGGTTGCACGTAGACGGTGCAAGATAAACGGACACGTGTGCGCAAACGGTGCAGAATTGAGGGTTGCATGTAAACGGTGCAAGATCGAGGGTCAAATCGACGCGGCTGGAGATTTGCACGTAAGCGGTACAAGATAGAGGGTTGCACGTAAAGTTGCAAGATAGAGGGTTGCACGTAAACTGTACATGATAGAGGGCTGCACGTAAACAGTACAAAATAAACGGTACAAGATAGAGGGTCGAGTCGTCGGCGTCGTCGTCGTCGTCGTCGTCGGCCAACGCCCTCTCGTAGTCGGCCCCATAGACCCTTCCTGGGGTCCAATCGCATAAGTTTTCTCGGCCGCCTCCAGCGGCTGCGACGATGGGGGGCCCCCGAGGGCCAGAAGAAGGCCCCGGGGCCTCGTGGGGGACAGCGCTGCAAGCAGGGGGTCGCCTGAAGACAAACGTCCTGGGGCCGCCTCAAGTAAGTGCCATCAGAGACGGCATCGCCGTCCGAAACCATGTCGGCTCTGGCTCAGACAAGGTCGCTCAACTCCCCGCGCCCTGCCATCGACCCACGCGCGGGCCGCTCGCGTCGACGTGTGCTCGATCGCGGAGGGGTTCGCCCAGGTGAGTCCGGCAGCCAGCCCGAACAGCGGCAACAGCTGGTACCCGCCAGTCGCGCAGCACGCAGACTTGCGCAAGCACGTCATGGCCGAGAGGCTCGATGACAAGCTCGTGCGCTTCGCAGGCGGCAAGGTTGACATGGCCGACGAAATGGTGTGGCTCAGGAACAAGCGTACCAACGAGATGATGGCCGTGGCGGACGCGGGCGTCGACCCGCTGGGCGGGCCCACCCAGCCCACCCCCGCTGGGCGCCGGCTCAAACGCCCGCGCAGGGAGCTGATTGGCGAGATCGACAGCTCGACGGTGGTCACCACTAAGTTGGAGGACGGCGCCTCGCGTGACGTTCGGGTTCGCGCTGCGGCAGACCCCAGGGCGAAGTGGTGTCTCGAGCTCACGCCAGATTCGATGAACCTACTCTGCGAGACCCCCAGCGTGCCAGAGGTCAGCGACGAGTTCATCCCGATCATTGGCAGCGAGGTGGTGGAGTGGGCGCGGCGCAGGCGGTCGTGCAGGGTGCAGTTCTTTGCGCAGGCCTCGCAGAAGTGGAAGATCAAGTCCATGAAGGTGCCGGGTGCGGCAACTGAGGAGGCCTACCAGGAGAACGTGGACAGGGTGATGGCGGTGTTGGAGGCGTTCTGCAACGAATGGCACGTCGACAACGACGCAGCCCAGGACGCCGACCCCCCACTCGGAAGTTGACGCCGCAGGAGGCGCAACGGGCGCTGCGGCAGTTGACGACGGGGAGTAGGGTCGACGGCAATGGCTGTTTCACTCAACCTTTCTGAGGGGATGGCGGTGCTCCCGCACGGGCGCGGCGAGCCCGTCGCGCCACATCTTTAGTCTGGATGTGCGCGCAATTTGCTCCACGATCGAATTCAATGCGCACTGCCGCAGCGATGGGGTCGCCCGCGCTTGGGCTCGCTGGCGCGCAAGCACCCGTGGGGGCAACTACGCGGCACGAGGTGGGAGACTGTCAGAAAGCAGCCATCGCCACCCTGACAGCCCGTTGAAAACTGCGTCGGCGATGCGCGTGAGCCGCCGCAACCTTTATCGGCTGAGGCGCATCTGGCAGATGCATCCTCGGTGAGAAGTGCTATCTGGCACATCGGACGCCATGTGCGAACTCCCACCTGGCACTCCAGACAACCGTCCGATGTCGCGCCTGTGACTTTGGACAGCCAGGCTGATAAAAATGATATGGCAGATCGGTGCGAAGTGGCAGGCGCCACTTCGAACATCTGTCCGCAGTGCCAGGTGGCACTTCGCACGGGGCGTCCGAAGTGCCAGGTTGCACTTCGCGCAGAGGTGGACCCCATCGCACATCTCTCGATCTACCTCGCTCTACCCCGCTCTGCCTGGTCGCTGAGCGGTTATGCAGGCGTGCCGCTGCATCCCAGTTTGAGCTTCTGTTCGGGTGCCAACCAGTGCAACCGTTCAAGCGCTGGCAGGAACCACGAGAGCTACACTGCGCCGCCGCCGAGCAACATTGCACATTAACGGCTTGCACCTTCCCTCTCCCGCCAGTCCCTGCAGTCATCCTGGCTCGTTTACTGCTTGAGTGCCCCGCGTCTTCGGCCATGCCCTGTGCACTGCGCGTAGATACTTGAGCAGCGGCTTCTCCGATGGCCTCGGAGTCTGACGTCGTGAACAGGCTGGCCGGGCTGATCGAGAGGCGCGTCAGGTTCATCGAGGCGCAGGCCACCGCTGGCATAGACCGCCATTGCCTGTTGCCAGCTCAGTGCGGTGCGATAGTCAGCGAGATCATGCAGGGGCGTGTCATGGATGAGGACGAACCCACGGCAATCACCTCGGCCATCGCCCGAGGCCCGTGGTCCGACGGGCAGAAGCTTCAAGTGGCCAGCGCCTTGCAGGAAACGGTGGTCAAACCTCTGAAGGGCAAGAGGTCCAAGCGCGACCAGCAGCACCTGCATGTCGCTGGAGCGCTTCTTCACGGCCCCTGATTGGCACCTGCTCCGCAATCCCAACTTGGCAGAGGGACCGAAAATCCATTGCATCGCCCACCACACGTGGAGACTGGGCATCACGTGACCAGCGGAGAGCACCCAGAAGCGGGCCGCTGCAATGCTGCAACTCGTGCCGTGACGCATGCTGATGCTACTCCGTCTAAGCACGAGGAGTGGCAGAAAAAAGGCCCAGAGCGAGGTCAAAACGCTGGACGAGGTGCGGCCGCACCCCCACTCCCGCACCAAGAGGTGCGCGCAGGACCCTACCATGCTGCAAGCGCAGGTCATGCAGTTCGCCTACGAAGGGACTGATGGCCCCGTGGAGTCACATGTGCTATAGCAAAGGGGTCCCCCTTCGCATCCATGCCATTCCACAGTCCGTCTCCACCCATGCTGCATCCTCCTCATCGTTGACCCGTGTCGTAAACTTTGAAGTCCTTGCCAAGCCCCTCTCTCCTGTCATTGCCCTTCCATCGTTGTCTGTGCAGTGGGCTTCCATTCCTCACTTCGCCCTTCCGATTCGAACCCACCCTGCCCAGCAATCCCTCTCAACCTCCGCCCTTCTCCAATCCCTCCACGCGCCCTCGCTCCTTGACCCCGCTCGCGCGCCAGGTTGATTTCGAGCGCGTGGGGCGGCAGGCGAGGCCGATGCCGTCGCGCAAGAACCACAAGGCATCGGGTCGAGCTGCTGATCATGAGCTGATGGCGGCGCGGTCCCAGTCCGCCATTGGGCAGGTGGGCCCCCCGGGCGCCATCTGGGTCGCCATGCTACGAAACCCGTCGCTCGTCGTGGAGGTGCAGCAGATGATCAACGACCTCGTGGGGGCGAACCTCCAGCGCGGCGTGGGTGGCAACCCCATGCTCGGCGCCAGGCCCAGGGGCGTTCGCGCGGGTGCTTCGGCGAGCAATGGTGGCCCTGCGATGGGGTCGCCGCTGTGTGGCCAGGCGTCGGCAGGGCCTGCTGCTGCTGTGCCGCCCGCTGCACTGCCGTGCCCTGTTCCGCTGGCTGACGCCGCCGCCGCGCCCGATGGCGCCGCGAGCGGCGTGGGCGAGGCGGCAGCGCTGGAGAAGGCGATGGCCGATGCAGCCGAGGCCGCTGGCCGTGGCATGCCTGCTGGTGGCGGGCGCTGCCCCAAGCGCCCGATGAAGCGCGAGGGCAAGACGGCTGCGGCCGCCGCCGAGGCCGACGATGATGGCGAGGGGGAGGACGACGTCGGCGCGCGCGTGAGGCGCCGCCCCGCGGCCAGGGGCAAGGCCGAGGGCAAGGGCCATGCCAGGGCTAAGCCCGCGCCCAAGGCCAAGGCGGCCGCGGCCAAGGGCGAAGGCGCACGGTGGCATAACGCAGAGGCGAGGGGAGCGTGGAGGGTGAAGTGGGTGAGGAGGGTGAGGAGTAGGAGGATGAATGGGGGAAGGTAGGAGGGCGAAGCGACGGGGGTGGGGGGCGAGGAGGAGGGGGGGGCGGAGAAGGAGGCGGAGGATGGGGAGCGGGAGAGTGAGGAGGAGCTGCCACCTACAAGTGCGCATGGGAAAAATAGAGGAGGGTCAGGATGAGGATGCAGAAAGAGGGGGGGGGGGGGGCATGGAACGGTGAGCGAGATGGGTAAAGCGCGGTGAGGAGCGAGTGTGCTGATTTGGGAGGCTGGCGGCTGCGGCGGGAGCCGTGGTTTGGCGCAGGTTGGGGCGCGCGGGCCTCGTCGGGCCCCTGGAAAAAGCCGGCTAGATGGCCGCCCGCGGCTGGCCATGCTTATGGGGGGCCTTTCGGGGTTGCCAGGGGGTGCAGCGTTGTGTCGATGGTTTCCTGGCCCCCTCGCCCCTCTCACCCATTCCCAAGCCCCCCCGCGGGGGCTGGGGTCTCAACCGCCCCTCGAGGCCGCGGGCGATGCATCGAGGCCCCGTGCCCGAGACACCCCCCAACGCACCCGAGTGCGCAGCCGTCGCCCCTCCCCCCGATGCCCCCCCGCGCCGCCGCCGCCCCAGGCAAGTGGGGGCATCGCGTCGCACGGGGGGGGGGGGCTGAGCTTCGCGCGAGGTTCATCGCAGCCGACCAGATGTGGGGGGGGGCACTCCAATAATACGTTTGCTAGTAGCGCCTACGCCAAGGCTAAGTCCCTTGCTAAAGCGCACGGCCTCAGCGACGCGCGGCGCGTTGAGTTCGGGAGGTTCGTTTGCCAGCGGGCCTCGTCAGTGTTTCGTGGCTAGATCTCTCGGTGGCCCTTCTGGGCCTTGCAGTGCCCTGCTGCCCCTAGGGCGCCCTCAATGGAAAGACGTGCGGGTTTGAGTTTGCACTGTCGGCGCCAACGACCCGGGGTGATTGCGCAAGCATCGCATAACACACCGCGACGACTGGATACCCCTCTACCCTCTTCAATCCTCGTTGCCACCGTCGTGCAACGCCTGCCCCTCCTCTCTATGCCCCTCTGTCTCTCCTTCTCCTCCCTCGCCCCCTCCTCCCGTATTCCTTTCCTCCCCCCTCCTCCTCCTCCTCTCTCTCTCTCTCTCTCTCTCTCTTTCTCTCCCTCTCTCTCTCTCCTTCTCTCGCTCGCTCGCTCGCTCGCTCTCTCTCTCTCTCTCTCTCTCTCTCTCTCTCTCTCTCTCTCTCTCTCTCTCTCTCTCTCTCTCTTCTCTCTCTCTCTCTCTCTCTCTCTCTCTCTCTCTCTCTCTCTCTCTCTCTCTCTCTCTCTCTCTCTCTCTCTCTCTCTCTCTCTCTCTCTCTCTCTCTCTCTCTCTCTCTCTCTCTCTCTCTCTCTCTCTCCCTCTCTCTCGCCGCCTGGGGGCATGCGCTTGATGCATGTCTTGTCGATGTGCCACTCTAACAGGCAAGCCGTGCCAACCTGGGTGCGAGCGGACGAGCGCCCTAAACGCCGGCGCATGCCGTAGGTTGCAGAAGCAGGCGCCTCGCTCGAGACGCCCTCACAGCCGAATGTGAAAGCAAAAGGTCGCGGGCAACCGCGCGCGCAGCTCGCCTGGGACACCGCTGCAACTTGGGGTGCAATACCTCCAGGGATGATGGGGCCAACGAATTGCTGGAGACATCTTCATAATCTGCCCTGAAAGCAGAGGCAACCAAGCAAGCCATGTGCATGGGGCGAACCAACGATCTGGGCTCGCATGGGGCCCGTGGAATACCCCGTGGCGCAATCCCCCCTTTGACGTCGAAGCCAGGGCCTCGCTCGAGACATCCTTGAAGATTGGGCGCGGGACGACCCTGAGCTGAGTGTGAGCGGTCTGTGTGATTGAGTCTGGAAATGAGTGAGTCCGTTCGCGGGTGCCCCCGACGTTGTCGAGTCCGTAGCCGTTTGTGTTCGAGCGATGTTTGATCCACCTCGCAAGAAGTTGAGGCTGGCAGAGTACGGTCGCCATTATCACGTGACTGCGTCGGCACTGAACAAACTCCCGACGCAAGTCAGGGACCGCGGCTTGCCCGACCATTTCTCTTGTAGTAGCCAGAGGAAAGACAAGCAAGATATTGCTTTCGAGTTGACGAGTTTCGGGCCGTTGCTGCAGCCCGCGGCTGCCGCAAGTGCCAGCGGCTAGCCCGTCGCGTTCTGGATGCAACATCCGCTGGGGATGCTCGGGGCAACGTGCAGAGCCAGCCTGGAGTTCAGGGCGCTTCTAATCGATGCGCTCGACGGAGATGGGAAGCAACTTGGCATCATCTTTTACTCGGACGAGATCGTCCCAGGAAGTGCGCTGGGCGCGCACAATTTCCGAAAGCTACTCGCCTTGTACTGGGGCATAGAGGGCTTCAGATTCCCCATTTTAACAAACGAAGACTCCGGGTTCACAATAACTGGCATGCGGTCTTCGCTGGTCGACCGTCTCCCTGGCGGCGCATCCGAAGCCATGGCGTTGGTGCTGCATTCTTTGTTCGGTCGGCCCGACGGTGATGGCGACGACCTCCGACGCGGGGCGGCATTGAACATAGCTGGCGAGGATGAGCCGCGCCTGGCGTTCGAGTCATTGAGGATTTTGCTACAGGACGAACGTGCTCACACATTTGGGCTGCATCTACCTAGGCGCTGGAGCGCGCAAGCTGCGCTGCCTCTGCAAGAACGCTTGCTCGTTCAAGTCGTCGTGGCCCCCCGATTCCACTGGCTTCCTCGTGCCGAATACGAACATCGACCTTCGCGATTTCCAGCCTCATACGAAGCAATCCATCCGAGGCATTCAGCGTCGTTTGGCAGAGATTTCCGCCACCTGCGCCAACGCCGAGCTAGAGGTAAAACGGACGGAGTTCGGCTTTACCTTCTATCCCACTGCGCTCTTGCAATGCGATGGTTCGACGTGGGCGTGGTGCAAATCTTCGGTTGGGGCCGGGTGCGCATTTACTTTATCGCGGGGCTCTTTACAGTGGAGGCTGAAGTGTTTGGAAACCTTGGCGTGCAACGGCATTCCGACTGAGGCGTTCAAAGCGCGCTGGAATAATTTTCGATGGCCAGGTGGGCATTCGCATGGCAAGGACATTGTGCATGGTAAGAACAATTCGTTTGGTGGTAACGCTTCCGAGCAACTCTCGCGCGCCCCCGTGTTCGAGATGTTCCTGCGCAAGGCTGCTGTGCCCAATGGACTGCGCCAGGGCGAGGTTGAGTCTGCCTTGCAGCTGTGCACGTGGTTCGCCTTTTCAACATTGGGGCGGTGGCTGCGCCCGCTCTCGGTCAGGCGATCGCGCGCCATTTGCAGCTTCATTGAAATTGCTATGGCGAGGAGCTGTGGAGGCCAAAGCATCACTATGCTTTGCGTCTGGCTCCCCAGATGATCAAGCATCATTGTTTACAGGGCGCTTTTTTTGCGAGAGCGCGAGCGCATAACTTTGAAGACGTTTGCGGGCGACAGGCACAACGCGAAGGCATTCGAGAGAGGACTTCTCGAACACGTAACTGTGAGACATCTGTTCGAGCTGCGCAGTTCGCTTGTGAAAGACTGGCTCATAGGTGCCACCCCAGCTAGCAAGAAGATCAATGATGCCATCTTGGCATGCGGCTTGATTTGGTTCCCCCACCCAAGGTGCAGAAACTGCTAGGGCTGCGAGGTGTAACGGCTCAGTAGTCTGTGTGAATGACGTGGTTGCGTACTCTGGCAGTCAGGGTCGCACTGCGTTTGGCCAGATATACTTTCGCGCGCGTAGCGCTGGAAGCACAGTGACATGCATATCGAGGTGGCCTGTTCGGGCGAGGCAGGTGGACCTCGTGCGGTGTGTTGTTTACAACGACCCGATCCTTGTAGATACGGTGTGCGTGGTCGAGCATTGTATCTACTGGCCCGTCCCCGACGGGCAGATCTCTAGAGTTTTGCTCCCAACGCGCCTGAGGCGCACCGAGGCGGGGGCCTGATGCGCGCAGTGTGGGGGGGGGACTAATGGGCACTCCAGGGATGGGGTCGACCTCTTCAGCGTTTCACAACACATGCTTTAAGGGATCTTGCACGCGTCGCGCTGATGGTGGAAAAGCACGTGATTCCTGTCTGGGCCCCTGTCACATGCATGTAACATAGTGCGTGGTGTACACAGGCAGCGCGGTCATACTATTTAGTGCCATCGCAGCTTTCAGCTCCATAAGCTGCTATATCTTGGCTTGAGAACAACACGAACCGGACATCATTTACAATCACGCTTTGGAAATAGAAGCAATGCAGTCTTGAAAAAAAAAACAACTACACCACGTGAAACAAAAACATCGCTGCGTTGAACACCAAATACAACATGCAATATGACACACGCACACATATATGAAACAAAACCGATACCAACATCATTTTTTCCCAGCTTTGGTAACCTCCAGATCCGACTTTACATGGTGCTTCCCCGACCTACTTACAAGTAACATCCCGCGCAAGATAGCCATCTCAGCGATCCCGGGGACAAGTAGATACAACCACCCCAAACACTTAGCAACGACCCAGACAATCCACGCAAGCGCTCCCAAACACTCCAATTGCACCCGGGCACCCCTGGGCCCCGGGCGCCCCCAGCCGCTCCCAAAGCGCCCCCGTTCGCCCCCGGGCGTTTCCAGACGCCCCGCGAAACTCCAGGAGGCACCAGAAGTCCCAAGAAACCCCGGGAAGCTTCTGGAGGCCCCGCAGGAAACTCCAGAAAACCCACGGAGCCACGGGGGCCCCCAGGAAACCACAACTGTCTTACAGGAAACCCCAGTCGACGCGGCCTGACGGACCCCGAATCAACAAAGTATTTTTTTCCCTGGCAGACCCCCCCGCGCGGTGGCCGCGCGGCGATGCGCCCGCATGCGCGGCGCGTTTGCCTCGCGTCCGCAAACACTTCCGCGCGCGCCCACTCGCGCAACGCGGCGCCATCGAATTCGCAGATCGAAACCACGGCGCCGAAATATCATCCGCCGATGTCGCGCGCGAGCCTTCCCCCGCGCGATCGGCCGCTGCCAGCTTGCGCGGGGAAGCTGCGCGGCGCCGCGCGCCGACTCCCGCGCGTGCACTTGCGTTCCGAAACCATCGCCGACGCGGCGCGCGAGTCCTTCCCTGCGCGTGCGACCGCTAGTCCCGAATGAACAATTCAATGTTTCGCGCAGGCCCCCCCGCCCGCCCCCGGCGCGGTGGTCGCGTTGCGATGCGCCCGTATGTGCGGCGTCGTTCGACGTGCGTCGCTCGTCGTCCAGAACTCGTCGTCGTTCGCCGTTCGTCGACAGTCGTCGTCCTGGTCGCCACTCGCTGTTCGTTGTTCGTAGTTCGTAGTTCGTCGTCGTCGTCGTCGTCGTCGTTGTCGTCCGTCGGTCGTCGTGCGAGTCGTGCGTCGCCCGTTTGTAATCGTTTGTCGTTGGTCGTTCTTCGCCGTCGCCGTCTGCCTATAATCGCGCAGCGATGCATCTTCGTGGAAGGACGACACATGTCACCTTCCCCCTTTTTTGTAAAGGCGGCGGGGGGTGGTGGCGACGAGGGAGCTCACTCTCGGGCGCAACCGAAGCAGGGTGGGGGGCTGGGACACGAACGCGCACCAACGCACCCCTCCTCCAACAACCTAGATGAGGGTGTGGGCTGCGTGCGCGCGTTCCTTTTTCAACTCACATTTACACACGCTCTCTCTCTCTCTCTCTCTCTCTCTGAGGACGGCGAGTTAAAGGTTCTTGGAGGTCTTGGGGGGAAGCCTGCGCGGGGGCTTGGGAGAACCAGAGGGTTGAAAACGCCCGAAAAGCCCTGATCCCCGACCCTCGAACCTCGAGGGATAGGAGGATGCATCGGCGGACCCGGGCCCCCTCCCAAGGTCGATCTTGGCAAGTTTTGCGAGCTGCGTCCAACCAGGATCCTCCAGCACAGCGATGACAGAATCTCCGACTGCGGACGGGCCTCTCTCCCGACCAAACGCCGCACGAGCATCTTTTACTTGCAAGCCCTCCTGTTTTGAGAAAGGTCCTCGTTTTGATTCCACAGCTCGCGGGTCTCCTTCTCCTCCTTCTGCTTCTCCATCTCCTCCTCCTCCTCCTCTTCCTCCTCCTCCTCCTCCTCTTCCTCCTCCTCCTCCTCGTCCTCCATGTCTTCCTTTCTTTGTTTTCCGCGTGCCCATGTCGGCACGCCCAGCACACGTTCGTGGCCCCACAAAGAGCTCAATTGAAGGCCTCAATTGCACGGTGTTGCAAAACGTCCCTCCGCAATTTTCGGCGCACCCCTGATGCGCTTCGTGGCCCCCAAGGGAGCTCCATCGAAGGCCTCAGTGGCAAGGTATGCCGTGTGCCCCACCACACAAATTTCGGCATACCCCTCAAACGTTCCGAGAGCATCGGTGGTCAAATATTGCATCACACCCCCGCGCCCATGCAGGCACCCCTCTCACACGTTTCGTGGCCCCACAGGGAGACCCACCGAAAGCCACAACGGCAAGGCATTGCATGCGGTCTCCCGGCGATTTCGGCACACTCACACGTTTCGTGGCCCCACAAGCACCCCACCGAAGGCCTCAGCGGCAAGATATCGCATGCGGTCCCTCCGCCAATTTCGGCGCCCACCTCTTAAATGTCGTGGCGCCCCAGGGAGCTCCACGGAAAGCCTCAGTGGGAGGGTATCGCATGCGGTCCCCCCGCCCAGGTCGGCACCATCCTCACGCGTTTCGTGGTCTCACAAGGAGCTCTTGCGAAGGCTTCAGTGGCAATGTATCGCATGCGGTCCCCGCGCGCATTTCGGAACCATCCTCACGCGCTTCGTTTCGTGGCGCCAGAGGGATCTCCACTGAAAGCTTCAGTGGCAAGGTCTCGCATGCGATCGCCGACCCATTTCGGCACCACCGCTCGCACGTTTCGTGCCCCCATATTGGGCTCAACTGGCTGCCTGAGCGGTAAGGTCTCGCATGCGGCCCCCCCACCGATGTCGGCACACCAGCAAGGTGTCGCATGCGGTCCACCCAGTCATTGTGGAGCTCCACCGAAGGCCTCAGTGGCAGGGTATGGCGTGTGCCCCTCCCCCCCCCGCAACTCTTGGCACACCCCTCGCGCGTCTCGCGGCCCCATCCAGGGAGTCTCTTCTCTTCCGCGGCGCAGTATCTACGAGGAGATGGGAATACCGAGCGCTACTCGCATCTGCTTTGAGTTGGGTCCTTCGCGAAGCCAATTTTCCTCAGCTGTGACAGCAGGAGGAGCGACCTGAGGAAGAGGATGACTTCCAGAGGAGGAAGGAGGAGGGAGAAGGGAGGAGGATAATGAGGATGAGGAGGAGGAGGAAGAGGACGAGAGGAGGAGCAGGAGGAGGAGGAGGAGGAGGACGAGATGATGATCCTGATGAGGAATACCTGATGAGTCTTGCGGAGGAAGAGGAGGAAGACATGAGCATGAGGACCCCAGGAGAGAAGAGAGGAGGAGAGGCGGAGCGCGTCCAGAAGCGCACAACAACTCCGAATCGACGACGACGGCGGAGATCAGGCGGGGGCGGTCCGCTGAGGCGGCGGGAGCGGCCACCAGCGCCCCCAGCCTGCTCCGACCACCGCGGGCGGGGGGAACGATGAAGCCAACGAGCTCTCAAGCTGTGAATGCGCAATTTTGACCATGCCTGGCGTTTGAACAAAGACGGCGAAGGCAAGACCAAGACGAGGATAGCTCCGGATCAGGGTCAATCGGAAACCTCTGAGAAACGGCGAGTCATAATAATGCACCGAGCGCCGCAGCCGTTCAAGAGCGCCGTAGCCGTTCAAGAGGCCTGCCTTGACAGACGCTTCGAGCAACTGCTTCCGCAACTGCTTACGATGTCTGGCTCTTGCGCATGCTGCGACCCTACACGGCCAATTTGACGGGGCCCCGCAAAAAATATGTGGACTATACGCTGTGAGCGTGCTTACAATGCCTCCCCCTAGAACGTGTCGAAATCCGCCACCATGAGGCTCTAAATGGAGTGCCCTGAAGTCCTGAGCATCCACCGTGTATAACGTGACACACTCACGGAAAATAAAAGGCCCACAACCCCGAATCCTGGGCGCTCCCAGGTCTTCCCGCGTGCCTCCCGGCCTTGTCGATAGTTTTTTTCGTGAAGCCAGGGGTCCCCGAGGCAGCCCAAGAGGGCCCCAAGAGGCACCGAAGACGGTTCAAGGGGGCCCCGAGAAGGCCCAGGAGCGCACCGAGACGCCCAAGATGGCCTCAAGACGGCCCAATCGGCCCTCAAGACGCCCAGGCCCTAGGAGGGCCTCAGGATGGCCCAAGGGTCGGGGGGTCAGGGTCGCAGCATGCGCTTGGGAGTGCGCCCTGCGCGGGCTGCTGTGCGCGTGGCAGCGCAAGCCGATCTCTTGCCGCCCTCCTCCACCTTTGAGGAGTCTCACGCGCGACTTTCTTGATGGCTATCATGCGTCTCACTGCCCTTGAACATTCTCGCACGTGACACAAGAACTGCAGCACGAAGTGCAGCAAGAAGTCACTGGAGGTTTGGCCTGCCCATCTCTTTGCGGGGTGCCCAATGGATCCTTCCAGCCAGCGGGGTCCCACTTCAACGCAGGACTGCCCCACTTCGCCGCGAGACGGGCGGCCCAGAGTCCCCCTAGACCCCTAGACGGCCCAAACGACCTACAAAACGGCTCCCAGAAGGGGAGCTCGAAGTGCTAGAACTAATCACATGTCAGGCCTACCGTTAGGTCGGGCGTGTCCCCCTACAGGCGGATTTTGGACGAAAAGTAAAACATAATCCAAACATGCTCAAAACTAAAAAACTAATCAAACATGGTGAAGGACTCGTCCCCATACTATTTTCCTATTATTTTTGAATATTTTTCCAATCGAGGGACAGGTCCGACCTAAGCCTACCGCCTAAAGAGGACCCACCCCGAAGGCCCCTGAGAAACCACAGGAGGCCCTCCGAGAAACACCCAAGGGCCCCGAGAGGCTCCAAGGCACACCAACAAAAACGCTCCCAAGAGGCCCCCAGAGAGATCCCCGCGGTCATGCAAGGGGCCTCTGGCCTGCAACCGAGGCGCGGTGGCGGGATGGGCCAAAAAGGCCACTGCACACCTATATATATATATATATATATATATATATATATATATATATATATATATATATATATATATGTGTGTGTGTTCTTGTATGTCTCTCTCTCTCTCTCTCTCTCGTCGAGCCTCGGCGGCGGCGGGACGCGCAGCAAGTACACACGCCTGTATGCACACCTGTCCTTGACTCCTGCGGTGCCGAGCGCTTCTCTCCGCCCCGCCCCTGCTGGTGGCACAAGCAGGGAACATGCACTGGATGTCGGGTGCAAACAAGATGCACCCAGGGCTCAATCAGGCGGATCGCTGGAACTTCCCCTTCAGATTATGTATGGACGCACTGCATCAAATTCACGAGTTTCAGAATGTTCAGAATCAGCGTTTCGCGCGGGACATCCTCTGAGTAGATATTTGCACCCACCAGGGTGACGCAAGGTGCAAACAGCGAATCGCATGCGACTTCTGCTGCAAGATGATGCGTGCCAAAATGCAGGCGTGGTGCAAACTCGACCACGTGAATATCAACATGAACGTTTCGCGTGAGACTGCCTTTGGAACATATTTTCACCCGGGTGTAAGCATCGTGCCGACGCGAGGACCGATACCTTAAGGACTGGCCCTCAGAAGTAAAATCCCCTCCTGAACCCAACGTGGCCCACGTGAAGAGCGCCAAGCACGCGAGAACAAACGCCCCGGCCCCGCGCGGCGCCGCCATGCTGCGCGACGTCTGCGTGCCAGGCCGCGGCAGATACGACGCTACCTTGCCAGAGCTGCGGCAGAGCCGCCTCGGCCTCGCGACGGATCCGTCGAAGCGGGCGAATGCCAGCCTGCTTGCTCCACAACGTTGGATAAACGCCCTGCAGGGGGAAATCGAGTTTCTATCGGCGATGCACCGGCGATTTGCGCCCAACAGCAAATGCGCACTGTCCTGGACGGGGTGGGCTATGAGGCCTCTATCGGCGATGAATGGGAGATCAAGGGTCAATGCCTCCCCCCCTGAATCTATCCTCTCTAATCGTCCTCGTCGTCCGGATTTTAAGATAGAACGGCCGTTCAGGACGACTTTGTCAACCCTGGAACGCTCTCGGCGAGGCGCAGCTGCTCTGAAGGCACCCCGAAGCTGGAAACCCAACCAGAACCCTACGAAAACGTCCGAACCCAGACATCCAACCGCTCCAATTTTTTCGATGCGTGGGCCCCGGAGGTCCGGACCACTTCCCCGGGGCCGATTTTTCGTCCTGAGTTGTTTTTTGACGCTCCCGAGGCCCGGCGAGGGCCAGCCCAAATCCCCCGCTCCAGACTTTTTTCAGCGTCGGATCTCTGGGAACGCCTCGCAGATCGAGCCTGCCCCTGAGCCTGCCCCTGAGCCTGGAGGAGGAGGGAAAGGAGGAGAAGAGGAGGAGGAGGGGGAGGAGGAGGGCGGAGGAGGAGGAGGGCGGAGGAGGAGGGTGGAGGAGGGAGGAGGGGGAGGAGGAGGGAGGGAGGAGGGAGGAGGGAGGGAGGAGGGAGGAGGAGGAAGAGACGTCGCCCCTGGCGAGCCCAGAGTACCTGCCGTGCCACCGCCCGGCCCCCTCCAGCTGAAGCGGCCGCCGGCATTGTCCGCGCCGCGGCGCAGGCCCTTCTCGGCGGCGCGCACAGGGGGGGTACAGTCCCTCGTCCTCCTCCTCCTCCCTCTCCTCCTCGTCCTCCTCGTCCTCCTCCTCCTCCTCATCCTCCTCCTTCTCTCGGCGCGCACGCGCATAGTAAGGACAAACGACCTTTTCAAGGGTACCCTCGGGTCCTTGCCTGCCTCAGCCTCTGCGGCCCGTCCCTAGCGATTTTCGCAGGCCAGTTCCTCAGGTTCTCCGGGGGTCTGGCCGCCTGCCGCCCAGAATACTTCAACAAGGGTCTTGCGTCCTTACCACGCGTCCTTACTATAAGTTTTCACTGTAGGGGGGGAGGGGGGAGGCTTTGTACAGCGGAGGCCAGTCCATAAGAAACCTTCCACCAGAAACCCAAACCTGAGACCCCAGGACGCCCATGGACTCTTGGGATGTGGGACCTTCGCGCTTTACATAGCAGAACCATCGACACCCACGGCACCCTGGAGGCAAGCAGGGTGTTTCTTGGCATGGGCCCCCACTGTGGGAGGCTGCCTGTTGGAAGGCGCTGGTCCCACATCTCCAGAGAAGGCCCGTGCCTTCCGAGAAGCAGGGGTGCTTCTGAGAAGCCTTCCCCCCTCCCCTGACCCCGGTAGGTCTTTGGACTTCCCACATGATTGGAAAGTGATTATCTTCTCGGTGACCCTATTGACGGATTGGGTCTCCGCCAATAGTGGAAACGATCTCTGTCTACGCGGCACCCGCCGCACAACGACGACGACGACTACAACTACGATTACGACTGCGTCTACAATCGCAACTACAACCACGACTACGATTACGATTACAATCACGACTGCATACGACCACAATCACTATTCCACTCACGATTACAACCACGACTACAACCACATTAAATATTCCTTCCGCAATCCTCATGGGAAGATGCTCACGCATCCTCCCGCGTGCAGGGTCGCCCACAACGGTTAATTACATGAGAGAAATACCCCCCCCCAAACATTCTCCATCCCGCCCAAAACTGGAAGCACAAATAACCTCCGCCACGACGACGACGACTGCGATTACCACTACGATTACGACTGCAAGCACGACTACGATTACGACTACAATCGCAACTAACATCACGACTACAATCACCATTCCAACCACGACTACAGTCTCGATTACAACCGCTGATTCATGTTGCAATCCTGATGAGAAGATGCTCACACATCCCCTCGCGTGTAGGGCGTCCACAATGAATTATTTATTCCCTGGGAGACAGCCCCTTAACAGTGTCCAGCCCGCCCAACATAGAGGAATAATAATCTCCACTGCAACGACGACGACGACTACGATGACGACCACGAGGAGGAGCAGGAGGAGAAAGAGGAGATGGAGGAGGAGGGGAGGAGGAGATGGAGGAGGAAGAGGAGGAGCAGGAGCAGGAGGGGCGGAGTGTATTCCTTGCTAAGAAAAACAAGGGGGGTCTTCAAAACTAGAGACCTCCTGCGGTTACCCCCCTCTGCGCGTGGCCGACCTTCGCGGAGCCTGGCCTGTGGGCGTGCACCACCTCCTCGCCCTGAGGGGCGGACGGAAGCAGCTCGGGGGGGAAAGGAGGGATGAAGATGTGGTGGCTAGTTGTGAAGCTCCGGAAAGGGCGGTGCAGTCAACTCTGCCCCCCAGGGAGGAGGAGCAAGAGGAGAGAGAAATGAGGAGGGGGAGATAAAAACCAATGAGGAGGAAGAAGAAGATGAGGACAAGGACCAATGTACACCCAAGACTCATCAACGATATTGCAATAAACCCTCCCTCCAATTCATAGGCCCCTACACGGATTCATTTTCGCTGAGGGGAAGGCCCAATTGGAAGACAACCGATAACAAATTCCGGGATTGTGCCAGAACGCCATTCTTGGAATTTCAACGCCGCGAATCACCGTTATTGTTGCTCCTGTGACTGCAACACCGCGAATGAAGGGACTGTTGCTCCCTGACATTCCGACATCGTGCCAAAACACCGTTTCTGGGATGTTAACCATGAACATCCTTGAAACTGCTGCGAACTCTTGAGACGAATTGCGCGGCACTGAGGTGAGATCTCCATTTTGACAAGGGGCCCCTCTCCATTGGTGAAACTCTTGCGAACTTATAAAACGAATATGCGCGGCGAACAAGCGACAACCACCACATTTTCAAAAAGAACCGCCATCCATCCGTGAATCTCTTACCATTTTCAAGACGAGTGCTCGCGGCGCTAAGGCGAGAACCACATGCTGAAAGCGGGGCCGCCCTCCATCCGTGAAGCTGATGCAAATTCAAGCTTCAGGACCATAAGTTGCGAGGATTTCTCAAGCGTGTCGCCAGGCCCGTCCTTTCGACCAGCGTAGGGTGCGACAGGGGGGAGGTGTCTGTAAGGAACAAGACCTGAGCAAGAAGGTGGCGGAGGAGGAAGAAGGAGGGAGAGAGGAGGAGGTGGAGGAGGAGGAGAAGGAGGAGTTGGACAGATATGATGATACACCCGTCGGAAGCGGAGTGTCCTAGTCGCCAAAATAGCTCGATAACGTTCTCCTGCTCCGTCTTCACAATCCCAGGCTGCACAACAACTTGCCTGCCGGCTTGCACGTAAATTTGTGGTCCAGCGCCCCGCGTGCTCGGAGTA